CTGTAGATGAGGTCATTATTTATCTGACCTGAGAGAGAGAGAGAGAGAGGGGGGGGGGGGGGGGTCAAATTATTGGAAAAACAGAAAAAACTACTGGATATAAAGGAATTACATATCCATCCACATATATAAATAAAATAAATATATATGTATCTGTATCCCAGTATGTCACTATATAAAGGTGGTATATATTCAACAATATGCCTTCATTATATAGCAATATCACTAATATGATTCGATGTTCAAAATATTTTAGTATCTTGGGAGAGCTGGAGGTGGTGATTGATGGTGAGCTGGGTGGTGATTGATGATGAGCTGGGTGGTGATTGATGAAGGTGGTGATTGATGTGATGGTGAGGTGGGTGGTGAGTGATGGTGTGTTATTGATGATGAGGTGTAGTGATTGATGGTGAGCTGGTGGTGATTGATGTGATGGTGAGGTGGGTGGGAGTGATGGTGTGGTTATTGATGATGAGGTGTAGTGATTGATGGTGAGCTGGGTGGTGATTGATGGTGAAGGTGGTGATTGATGTGGATGGTGAGGTGGGTGGTGAGGAGGTGGTTGATGAGGGGGATTGATGGTGAGCTGGGTGGTGATTGATGGTAAGTGTGGTGATTGAGGATGGTGAGGTGGTGGTGAGTGATGGTGTGGTTTGATGATGAGGTGGTGGGATGGTGGTAGTGGTGATGGCCGTAGTAATGGTGAATGTGGTAGTATTGGTGATGGTGGTAGTGATTGGAGTGGTGACGGTGGTAATGATGGTAGTAATTGTGGGTAGTAGTGAGTGATAGTGGTAGTGTTGGTGATGGTGGTGGTTGTTGGCTCACCTGCCCACAACCAGAAGGAAGGGAGAAGGTTGCGTTGGGTTTGGTTAGGTTAGGTTAGGTTAAGGTTAGATTAGGTTAGGGTTAAGGTTAGATTAGGTAAGGTTAGATTAGGTTAAGGTTAGGTTAGGTTAGGTAAGGTTGAAGTTAGGTTAAGGTTAGATTAGGTTGGGATAGATTAGGTTAAGGTTAGATTAGGTTGGGTTATTGTTAGATTAGGTTAGGTTGCAGATTAGGTTAAGGTTAGGTTGGGTTAAGGTTAGGGTTAGGTTAAGGTTAGTTAGGGTAAAGTTTAGGTTAGGTAAAGGTTGGGTTAGGTGAGGTTAGGTTAGGTAAGGTTAGGTTAGTTAAGGCTAGATTAGGTAAGGACCGACTCACATGCGGAATCTGTCACGGAGGAAGACGAAATTGCGTGGATCACAATGGGCAGGTGAGCTGTCTGGCGGTCAGGTATGATCAAACTGGCGAATGAAATCCTGTCACGAAAATATCATTGTGGTTGTAGGTCAAGTGTGCCTTACCTTACCTTACCTTACCTTACCTTACCTTACCTAATATAACCTTACCTTACCTTACCTTACCTTACCTAGGTCATACCATAGTTGTGTCTATAGCCTCTGATATTTCTGGTCTCTTTTTCCAGCCATCGAACCGAGTCTTTGAGTTAGGTGGTGACACAGTCCAGGTTTCACAGCTGACAGTAACACACCTGGGGCTTTTTATCACCTAGTTGATATCTGCTGACACAACTGTGACGTGTACTGTTGCTTTTATGTCATCTGCTGACGTTGCGTTTCATCACCTGCCACAAACTGCTGACGCTATCATGACATGTGCTGACACCTTTTAACCTACAGATACTATTATAACAAACCCGAACACGTCTGACATCTACTGACTATACTCAATACCAGCTGACGGTACTATAACACATTTTTTGCTCTGACACTTTGCTTTTACCTGGTGGAGCTGACAATGGTAACTGACCTGAATCGATTCTCACGGCTGACGGATTCCTTTGTCAAGTGTTGAATCGAATCTAATCTTGTTATGTTTCAGGAAATCGTGTGAACCCATCTGCATGAGCTCTCTCTCTCAACATAAGAACACATAAGAACATAAGAATGGAGGAAACTGCAGTGGGCCTTATTCATACTGGGCAGTCCCATTTACACCCAACCCTATTGCTCATATATCCATCCAACCTATGTTTGAAGCTATCCAGCGTGAGTTAATGATGATATTTGGTAACTTGTTCCCTCATCCACTTTCTCTTTCCAAACCAATGTTTACCTATTTCTCGCCTAAATCTAAATTTGTCTAATTTAAAACTATTGTTACGAGTTCGCTCCTGGATTTGGATAGTTTAGTGCAACTTTGTATGTCCTTTGTTTAGACCTGACTTCATTTTACCTCTATCAGGTCGCCCTCATCTACGTCTCTCGAGGAGTGCAAATTAAGATGCTTTTAACCTGTCTCTGTACTCAAGGTTCCTAATGCCGGGATTGAATACATCATTCTCCTCTGAATTCTTTCCAAGGATTCTATATCCATTCTGTAATACGGTGACCAGAATTAGACTGAGCAATCCAAGTGAGGTCTCACAAGTGCAAGATATAGTTTTAGGATGACCTCTGTAGTCTTGTAACTAACACTCCTTTGTATGAACCCAAGTACTTTATTAGCCGTGTTTCGAGCAAATATACATTGTTTACTTGGCTTAAGATTCCTACTTATCATTACTCCTAAATCCTTTTCGCAGTTGGATTTCTCAATAACATCGTTGTTCATCTGGTATCTGGTTTCCCTGTTTACATCTCCTATACTGAGTACTTTACATTTGTCTACATTGAATTTCATCTGCCATTTTTTAAACCATTCGAAATTTTTTTTTAGATCTTCCTGTAGTTTTGCGGAGTCCTCGTCAGATTTAATTACACGCCCTATTTTAGTGTCATCAGCAAATTTACTTAAGCTGCTGTCTACGCCAATATATATGTCATTTATGTATATAATAAATAATAATGGTCCAAGTACTGAGCCTTGGGGAACTCCACTAGTGACGTTGCTCCAATGAAATTTAGTGCCGTTAATGCTCACTCGCTGTTTCCTGCCCTGTAATCACGCCCTAATCCATTTTAAAATATCTCCTTTAATGCCATGAGCCTCCACTTTTCTTATTAGTCTTTCGTGGGGGACTCTGTCGAAGGCTTTGTTAAGGTCGAGATATACCACATCATAATTGTGCCCCTCGTCCATTGATTCGAAAACAGATGAAAAGAATGTTAATAGATTAGTTAGACATGAATGCCCGCTTGTGAAGCTATGTTGGGAATCATTGATCAACTTGTGCTTCTCCAGGTGATTTCGAATAGAGTTTGAAATTATTGCTTCCAGTTATTAGCCTACAATTGATGTTAGACTAATTGGACGGTAGTTAGAGGATAGTGATCTATCTCCCTTCTTGAAAATCGGTATCACATTTGCTATCCTCCAGGATTCTGGTACTACACCCTTTTTTAAGGACATGTTAAACAACTTTGTTGAGGGCATACTAATCTCTTCCATACATTCCTTAAATACTCTGACAAATATCTCATCGGGACCTAGTGACTTATTAGGCTTTAGTTTGTCTATTTGCTTACTAACATCGTTACTAGTCACTACTATCTCGCTTAATTTATTTTCTTCACTATCTCTGTACAGAGTCAGTGCCTCGGGTATCATGTTTAAATTTTCGGTGGTGAAAAATGTTGAAAGCTATTTATTCAGATTATTGCTCATTTCTCCGTCGTTATCATTTAGCTCGTCGGTATCTGACTGTATTAGTCTAATCTTTACTCGTGCTTTAGTTTGATACATTTGATAGAATCCCTTGGGGTTTGACTTCGCCTCCCTTGCTACCTTCAGTTCATTATTCCTCTTTGCTTGTCTTATCTTGGTCTTAACCCTATCGGCCACTATCTTATAATAATCTCGGAGGTAAACTTCACCACGATTTATTTTTCTACCTATAGCCTTTATTTGTTCGATAATATTCTTTAAATAATTATTTATCCATTTATGGTCATTGTTGTTTGATCTGAGTTTTTTGTATGGTATGTTCTGCCTTTGTGCATTAAGTAACTCCTTATTTAAATTGTTGTGGAACTCGTCAACCTGAGATTTCGTTATCAGGTCATACTCAACCGTCAGGTCTCCAGGTAAGCGTGATACCCCTTCTCTCAGCTGCCGTTTCAAACGATCAAAGTTTGCCTTTCTGAAATGTGGGACTTCAGTGTAATTTTCCTTGCTGCTGCCCTGAAATTCTAACTGGAATCTAATTTCTTTCTCTCTACCTATCTATAAATATTTCCGCGACTTAAACCCAGATGTTTGTCGGTATAATAACACATTAATTCTTCACTACCCATTACTCAACCTTTTACGTCCAGCAGTGTTCACAATACGGGGCCTGGTGGTCGGGGGTCGGAAAAATACCCGTAAACATTTTCTACTTGTGATTCTAAAGGGTTCTGGCTGATGTGAAGGGTGGGGGGGAGTTAGGTTAGGTAAGTGCTGTGTGGTGGGGTGTAGAGAGAGATACGAGACAGTTGCAGATGACATTTAATTAAAAGACAAAGAAAGAGTGATGAACGACCTCGCGTCTCACAGCTGAGGTTGTTCTTGTTGACCCACACCTAATGTAACCTTACCTTACCTAATGTAACCTAACCTAACCTAACCTAACCTAACCTAATCCCTAACCTAATCTTACCTGTTATACATGTATCTGTGACTTAGGTGGTTATATTAACGCTTAAAATCTCCTACACCTCGTCCCTGGGTCCTGGCCTCACAAGGGTCGTCCTGGCCTCTCAGGGTCGTCCTCAGGGTCGTCCTCTCCTCAGGGTCGTCCTGGCCTCTCAGGGTCGTCCTGGCCTCCCAGGTCGTCCTGGCCTCTCAAGGTCGTCCTGGCCTCAGGGTCGTCAGGGTCGTCCACGCCTCTCCAGGGTCGTCCCGCCTCTCAGGGTCGTCCTCGCTCTCAGGGTCGTCCTGGCCTCTCAGGGTCGTCCTGGCCTCCCGTCCTCTCAGGGTCGTCCTCGCATCAGGGTCATGGGTCGTCATGGCCTCATAAAAGTCGTCCTCGCCTCACAGGGGTCGTCTTGACCTCATAAAGGTCGTCCTCGCCTCGCATGGGTCATCCTCGCCTCACAAGGGTCGTCCCGCCTCACAAGGGTCGTCCTCGCCTCAAGGGTCGTCCTGGCCTCAATAAAGATCTTCCTGCCTCCAAGGGTCGTCCTCGCCTTCAAGGGTCGTTCTTGCCTCTCAGGGTCGGGGTCGTCCTTGCCTGTCAGGAGTCATAAAGGTCGTCATAAAGGTCGTCCTCGCCTCACAAGGTCGTCCTTCATCGTCCTCACAAGAAGGGTCGTCCTCGCCTCATAAAGGCCTCACAAGGGTCGTCTCCCTTCAAGGGTCGTCCTGTCACTCCTCGCCTCACGTCCCGGGGTCGTCCTCGCCTTACAAAAGGGTCAGTCGCCTCCAAGGGTCGTCCTGGGTCAAGTCGTCCTCGCCTCACAAAGGGTCGTCCTCGCCTCATAAAGATCTCCTCGCCTCACAAGGGTCGTCCTCGCCTTCAAGGGTCGTTCTTGCCTCTCAGGGTCGTCCTCGCCTCTCAAGGGTCCGTGCCGGTCGTCCTCGGGTCGTCCTTGCCTCTCAGGGTCGTCCTCGCCTCGCAGGGTCGTCCGCCTCAAAGTCGTCCCCGCCTCATAAAGTCGTCCTCGCCTCCTGGGGTCGTCCCGCCTTCGTCCTCTGCTCATAAATCTTCCTCGCCTCAAGGGTCGTCCTCGCCTCTAAAGATCTTCCCTCGCTCACAAGGTCGTCCCGCCTCCAAGGGTCGTTCTTGCCTCCTCATCCTCGCCTCAAGGGTCGTCCTTGCCTGTCGGGTCGTCTCTCATAAAGGAGTCTCCTCGCCTCACAAGGGTCGTCCCGCCTCGCGGTCGTCCTCGCCCATAAAGGTCGTCCTCGCCTCACAAGGTCGTCGTCCGTCCTCGCCTCATCACAAGGGTCAGTCCTCGCCTCACAAGGGTCATCCTCGCCTCCAGGGTCGTCCTCGCCTCACAAGGGTCGTCCTCGCCCGACAAGGGTCGTCCTCGCCTCACAAGGGTCGTCCTCGCCTCACAAGGGTCGTCCTCGCCTCATAAGATCTTCCCTCCCTCACAAGGTCGTCCCGCCTTCCAAGGGTCGTTCTTGCCCCTCAGGGTCGTCCTCGCCTCTCAAGGCCGTCCTTGCCTGTCAGGGTCGTCCTCGCCTCAGGGGTCGTCCGCCTCAAAGATCTTCCGCCTCACAAGGGTCGTCCTCGCCTTCCAAGGGTCAAGGGTCGTCCTCTGCCTCCAAGGTCGTCCTCGCCTCATAAAGTCGTCCTGGCCTCACAGGTCGTCCTCGCCTGCAGGGTCGTCCTCTCCTCATAAAGTCGTCCTGGCCTCACAAGGGTCGTCCTCTGCTCATAAAGATCTTCCTCGCCTCACAAGGGTCGTCCTCGCCTCATAAAGATCTTCCTGCCCACAAGGGTCGTCCCGCCTTCCAAGGGTCGTTCTTGCCTCTAGGTCGTCCTCGCCTCCAGGGTCGTCCTCGCCCTCAAGGGTCGTCCCGCCTGTCAGGGTCGTCCCGCCTCGCAGGGTCGTCCTCGCCTCAAAGGTCGTCCTCGCCTCATAAAGGTCGTCCTCGCCTCACAAGGTCGTCCTCGCCTCGCCGTCCTCGCCTCATAAAGATCTCCTCGCCTTCCAAGGTCGTTCTTGCCTCTCAGGGTCGTCCTCGCCTCTCAAGGGTCGTCCTGTTCTCAGGGTCGTCCCGCCTCATAAAGGTCGTCCGCCTCAGTCGTCCTGCCTCACAAGGATCGTCCCGCCTCACAAGGGTCGTCCTGCCTCACAAGGGTCGTCCTGGCCTCTAAAGGGTCGTCCTCGCCTCACAAGGGTCGTCCTCGCCTCATAAAGATCTTCCTCGCCTCACAAGGGTCAGTCCCGCCTTCCAAGGGTCGTTCTTGCCCCCAGGGTCGTCCCGCCTCAAGGGTCGTCGCCTCAGCCTCCAGGGTCGTCCTCGCCTCATAAAGATCTTCCTCACAAGGGTCGTCCTCGCCTCCATGGGTCGTCCATGCCTCGCAGGGTCGTCCTGCCTCATAAAGGTCGTCCTCGCCTCATAAAGTCGTCCTGGCCTCCAAGGGTCGTCCTCGCCTCACAGGGTCGTCCTCTCCTCAGTCGTTCCTCGCCTCTCAGGGTCGTCCTCGCCTCTCAGGGTCGTCCTGGCCTCGCAGGGTCGTCCTCGCCTCATAAAAGTCGTCCTGGCCTCATAAGGGTCGTCCTCGCCTCATAAAAGTCGTCCTCGCCTCACAAGGGTCTTTCTCGCCTCACAAGGGTCGTCCTCTCCTCAAGGTCGTCCTCCACTGTTTGACGTCATGTATTTAATCAAGTAAGAGAACTTTCCACCTCTTTAAATTATGAAAATTCTCTACTCCCGTTTTCATTGATTAAAAAATGCTTCGTGTTATCTGATGGGCAAACAAGTTCTCTGATTGGTTGAGGGATTTTTGGTCTTCTGTAGGTAAAAATCTCTTCTCCCATTGGTGGAAGTTGGGTTTTTGGTAAAGTGTTTGATTATATCCCTTGTGATAGTGTTACCTGATTGGTTGAAGCTGCTCTTAATGTCTGTTTATGATTGACTGGAGGCCATAGCTAGATTATTATTGGTTAAATTTTGCCGTGTTAGGTTTTCAGTGGTCAAGTGCTTACCTGTTATTGGTTAAGTGCTTCTGTTCTTAGCCCTCATTGGCTAATTACTTCTCCTTCTGTTCCCTTATTGGTTGAGTGCTGAGGATCAGTGCCGTCATTGGCCAATTATCTCTTCCTTTATTCCCTCTTTGGTCAATATTTCACCCTGAGTGGTGATTTATGAAGCAGGAATAAGCCACGACAACATTCCAGGAAGGGAGAATACTGGAATACTTTACCTGGAATAGTCGACCTGGAGCTGCTGGAAACAATCTGGACGTAATACCACTTTCTTTACACGGTGAAACCAACAGTGTGAGGACCTAACCTAACCTAACCTACACGACTTTCCCCAATAATTTCCCAACATGGCTACAGGAATTTTGTAACCAGCAGAGTCAGAACCTAACCTAACCTAACCTAACCTAACCTAACCTAACCTAACCTAACCTAACCTAACCTAACCTGTAGACCTCAGCAGACATGTTAATGTTTTGAAGGCATCACGTGTGTCGTTACCAGGAAGTTGTTTGTTTATCGTGACGCACTCATGTTCATTATAAGAGGGTCTGGTGGTGATACACTTACACCAGCGAGACACAAGACTGACCTAGTGATGTTAGTACCAGACGTTAGGTCAGGTTAGTTCAGGGTTAGGTCAGGGTTAGGTTAGGTTAGGTTAGGTTAGTTTAGGTTTAGGTTAGGTTAGGTTAGGTTAGGTTAGGTAAAGGTTAGGTTAGGTTAGATTAGATTAGATTAGATTAGATTAGGTTAGGTTAGGTTAGGTTAGGTTAGGTTAGGTTCAGGGCTCCAACGGACTCCCTAAAACATTCCCCCAAATTTTCACATGACAGCTTTGCCTTTCACGTAATAGTTTGTTTGGGAAAATTCGAAAGCGTGATCACAATCCCGGGGACTGAGTCTTCCCAGTGAGTCTGTAGGTGTGTGTGTATAAGTCTGGGTGAGGGAGGTGAGGGACAGTAGGTATCCAGCTGTCACAAGGGGCTTGTCGCTGCCCTCCTGGGACTGTCAGACTTAATTCTCAGAGGCATTAAGGGTGAATTTTATCTGTATGTTGTGGTAGGATGACCTGTATTAACTGTATGTTGTTTTGTTTGAATAAACTGTATAATTAGAAATTTTATATTTATTATTATTATTATTATTATTCCGATTTTATTATTTTGTTATTATTATTGCTGCTATTATTATTATTATATTTATTATTATTATTATTATTATTATTATTATTATTATTATTATTATTATTATTATTATTGTTATTGTTATTGTTATTGTTATTGTTATTATTGTTATTATTGTTGATAGTCACTACTACTACTACTACTACTACTTTTTTTTTAACGTGGCCTCCAGTCTCCCCCCAATAGCCACACCTTCGCCACCATTTAATTACCTAAATATTAAATATCCTACTACTACTACTACTACTACTACTACTACTACTACTACTACTACTACTACTACTACTACTACTACCACCATTATTGTACACACACTGTAATAAGGGAGAAAATCCGCGAGGCACCTTTCCCCTTGAGATGAAAGCGAGAGAAAGTTACCACGTAAAAGGGAAAGTCGGAAAAAATAAAGCGAAGTGAACCTCAATTTTTCGCCAATTTGAGACAGAATAAATTTGAATGTAAATGATCACCAAGAAAAGACCCTGGGGTGTCTCTGGGCCTTTTATTACTAATATTAAGTCTTTTTTATTGACCTTAAACTTAAGTCTTTTTTATTGACCTTAAATCTGTATTACTGATCTTAAGTCTTTTTATTGACCTTAAGTCTTTTTTACTTGATATTCAGTCTTTTTGTTCATGGTCTTTACATGGATTTCAGTCTTTAAGTTCATTATTTAGTCTCTATATGGAATACTTTCAACATGAGTCTTAAATCTTTTTACGAATAAGAAACTTTAGTCTTTTTTTATTCTAAGACTTTAATAGTGTAAGTCTTATTCCTTAAAGTATCATCACCCCTTAGTCCTGGGGTTTTAAAGTGGATCCCATACAGTTCACGACCCGTTCAGGATAGTGTGGATGTCTGGCTAAACACTGGACCGCCTTCAATTCCCCAACTGTAAAATAAAGTACCAAATTTATCATAGGGTGGATGTGGAGGTGCTAGGGATCGAACCAAGGACCCTTAGGACGGGAGTTGAGTGTCGTATTTACTCGGCCACCTCACACATAATATATTAGGTATTTTAATATATTTCTCCCCAATTATTAATGCTTTCTGGTAAGTATATTTGGTCTATATTACTACAGGAGCCATGATGCAAGTATAGAAGGTATTTTTATAAGGTATATAGCTTAGTATATTAATCACGGGCCTTACTATAGCGATATATACATGATTATATGTATTTTTAATGTTGAATCTTGTTTCTGTTTCGGCTGATAATTTATTTGTGTACTTGTGGTGGTGAAACAAAGCCCCTTGGCTGACACACACGACCAGCCACCACACAGTCCAGGCAATATATCCTTATATATAACCGCAATATGTCCAATATGTCACTGTACAGTATCCCCCTCTTGTATATCCGTCAATCTGTTTTCAATATTTTATTTGGGTGTATTTATGAGTTATCGATTGGCAGATACTAGATAATATATTTTTGTGTCGCGTCTGCCTTTCCTGACCTGACTGAGGAGGTTTTTTTTTTTTTAGCTTGTGTGGGAGGTATGTTCTTTATTTACGATAATTTATTTAGTTGTTATTCACTTGTTTAATAATTTTTCTTTAAGTTCCCCCTCCTCTTTCCTCCCCTCTTTTCTCGCTTTTATGAGGTGAGTGGGAAAGGAGGGGGTGGTGAGAGGGAGTGAGGGCGGGGAAGAAAGGGAAGGGATGGGAGTGAGGGGGAAGGGGGAGGATGGGAGGGAAAGAGTGGAAAGGAAGGAGGGGGTGGGAGGGATGCAGGGGATGGGAAGTGTGGTAAGATGATGGCGATGGAAGAGGAAGGTTGGGGATGAGGAAGAGGAGGAAAGGAGAGAAAGAATGGGATAGGAAGGGAGAACAGCAAGGTCGGATCGGTAGGTTAGGTTAGGTTAGGTTAGGTTAGGTTAGGTTAGGTTTGGTTTGGTTAGGTTTGGTTTGGTTTAGGTTTAGGTTGGGTTGGCAGCCTATAAATATTAAAACCCATTTGACCTGTAAGCGATGTGAATAGGGAGGGAGGGGGTGGGGGCGAGGTAAACGATTATTGACCTAGAGTTGCATATCAAGATGGTGGCTTTATTATCCCTCTTATGGGTACTAAAGAATAACATATATACAGCCCCGTAAGGTATATGTTCCTGGGTTATGTATATCCTCACAAAGGCCGGAGGTATATCACAAGGTCCAGCGGCGCTAAGCTCAGAACCTGCTACATAATTTATAACCCTTTCTTGCCTGATGGAGGGAGTGGTGGAGGAGAGGTGGGGGAAGGGGATTGGAGGAAGTGATGAAGTGTGTACATCCTGGTGTCAGCGGAATTCAACTTTCTTGCATTTCCTTTGATAACAGTCGATACCCATAGGTGTATTACTATTGTGTGTGTGTGTTAGGTTGGGTAGTGATGCCACCACCTTTAGGCTAACCATTACTACCCATGACCACTCCCCACCTACCACAGCCACACACCACCACCACCACCACCACCACCACCACCACACCACCCACTACCACCTACCACAACCACCACTACCAACCATTGTACCACCTACCACCACTACCACCCACCACCACCACCCACCACCTACCACTACTACCACCACAAAGGTCAATAGTAGGTGGCGTGTCTTAGCTAGAGTCCTCTGAGCTGTTCTGGACATGAGACTTATCGCGGGTTTTGTTATTCCCTCATTTATTACCTCCTAATCTGTTGTAATTCCTCCTTTATCATCCCTTTGTGTCTTATCATTAATTTTGTCGTTCTTCCATCTTTATCGGTTCTCTGTCTTTCTCTTAATCTTTATTTATGTTCATTGTATCCTTCATTCTCTTGTTATTCCTTGTTTCTTACCTATCTTTTCTTTTTGTACGTTATTTCTCATTTATCATCGCCTTTGTTTCTCACATAATTCCCTCACCTGTAATTTCTCTTGTCTCTATCTCTTACCTGTTAATTAATGACTGTTTCTTATCTTGACAGGTGAGTGGCGGTGACTGACTGTCT